GTTCTCCAGGGAAAAGCCCCGCTGGCCACCTGACTGCCCACTGAGAAGTCCCCCACTGACTTAGCTCTTTAGTGCCTCACTCCTGAATTTGAACAGACAGCAAAGATCGCCAGATATGTGGAAACAGCATCTAACATTAAAAATAAATAAATAAATAAGGAGAGAGAGATTAAAACAAGCAAACGAAAAATAAGAATTCAGAGGAAACAGACACCATGCAAAGAGCAGAAGACAATGTCAAATAAACTATAATCAGCATCTTCAGAGAGATAAGAGGAGATACTGCATCCATGAAGCAAGAATAGAATGCTATTAAATATAATCAGAAAACGAAGAGTTCTTGAAGCTTAAACATTCAACAAAGGAATTTGAAGAAAACTTCCCCAAAATTGAAGAAAAGACAGAAGGACAAGGGGAGAGAAAGGATTAGAAAATTAGAGAATGAGACTGGGAGGCCTAACATCTGACTCTTTGTAGTTCCAGAAAGAAACAGAAGAGGAAGGGAAGGAAATGATTTCTAAAATTATATTAGAAAATAGCTCAGAACCAAAGGATGCAAGTCCCCATATTGAAAATGTCCATCAAAGTTCCAACATAAAGAACAGCAACGACAAAAGATCCCACCAAGGCATACTCCTGTGACAGTTCAGAACCGTTTGTGTAAAATGAAGTATCTAAAGCTTCTAGGGAGAAAAAGACAGACTCATACAAAGACTGGGCATAAGAAGGCATCCTATTTCACAACAGCAACATTGGAAACTATAAGAAAATTCAGCTTCAAACAAACCAAGAGAGAATGGGCAAAACCGTAGTGGTAATGTTGACAAACCCTTCTCCGTTTTTTGAGTAGACAAAAAACAAAATATTAGAGTAACATAATGTATTTGATTTAATAATTAAACATCATACTTTGTATTCTATAGTTGGAAAACACACACATGTATTTTTTAGTTGCCACAGGATATTAAAAAATTGATCATATAATAGACAATGAAGAAAATGTCAATAAATTCCCTAAAGGTAGAAATTGTATAGGTCAGAGGCTTTGTCCCAGGGGCATTTACTAATCTCAGTAATCAAAACCCAAACCAAAACCCATTGCTCTCTAGTCGATTCTGACTCACGGCGATCCTATAGGACAGAGCAGAACTGCCCCAAAGGGTTTCCAAGGAGCAGCTGGTGGATTCAAACTGCTGACTTTTTGGTTAGCAGCCGAGCTCTTAACCACTGCGCCACCAGGGCTCCAATCTCAGTAATCAAGGGGGATGATTTCTATAGTCATGTAGGGATGAGAGAGTCAAGGCCTTGGGCCCACATGAGGCAGGGATTTGAAACTAAGATCTCTTCAGGGTCTCTCAGTGAAAGACTATTAGAAAAAAATCCATATACCAGTAATGGGAGACCACAGAGAAACTTGTCAGCTTTTCTGTGCTATAATTGAGGGAAGAAAGTCTTCCCTGAACATTCTTAGGCACAAGCCTGTTTTTATGTGGACCTACCCATACCCATTACCCATTGACGTCAAGTCGATTCTGACTCATAGTGACCCTATAGGACAGAGTAGAACTGCCCCATAGAGTTTCCAAGGAGCGCCCGGTGGATTTGAACTGCCGACCTTTTGGTTAGCAGACGTAGCACTTAACTACTACACCACCAGGGTTTCCTAGGGTACCCTGTGGTACACATTTACACTATCTGCATGGTCTAGGAATTTAGGAGCCAAGAAATTAACTCAAAATATGGCCTTGGGCTGATAACATGACTTGGGCACTTGGCAAGAGCAAATAATAAATTTTTCTAGAAGAATAAATTTTCCACCCAGGTTTCCCATGGCGAAAGCCCCAACAAACATGAGCTCACAATTGAGGAAACATACAAGGAGTTAACCTACTATGGGGCCAGTGGACCCAATAAATAGTAGGATTAGACTCTCAGTAATTACAGATACTGTAATTACATAATTCAGACTGCAAAATAAAAATGTTTAAAATGAGTAAAGAAATAAAAACATGAGAAAGGAACAACACAATATTCAAGGAATCAAAACCCGAACCAGTTGCCATCGAGTCGATGCCAATTCATGGCGCCCCTTTGTGCTCCATAGGGTTTTCAGTGGCTGAGTTTTTGGAAGGAGATCACCAGGCCTTTCTTCTGAGGTGCCTCAGGGTGGAGTAAAACCACCAACATTTTGGTTAGCAGCAAAGTACTTAAACAGTATGTCATTTTCACTGATTCTAAAACATATTTTTTCATATTTTAATGTCTCTGAAGTTAGGAAGTATTTTATAACCAGTGTGATAAGGAAGCACTGTTCACGGATGGACCTAGAAAACACGATGCTGAGTGGGGTCAGTCAGTCACGAAAGGACAAATACTATATAATCTCACTGCTATGAAATAAGCAAATATATAGAAACCAAAGGTTATTAATGTTTACCAGGGATGGGAGGAAAGGGGAAAAGGGAAGTTTTTGTTTGGGGGGGCAATGAATTTATGTTAATGGTAGTGGCATATTTTGGAAAAGGATAGCAAGAATGGTAGCACAACATGAAAAATGTAATCAATGTCATTGAATTGTAAATGATGAAGTTATCGTGTTGGCAAATGTTTTGGTGTATGTATTTTCACCAAAATAAAAAGAAAGGAAGGAAAGGAGAAAGCAAGCACTGTTCGCAGCTTAGGAAGCGTTGTTTCTTTTTTAGTGGTAGGTAAAATGATAGTATGTCTTAAATTCAATGAAATACGGTGTTTGAAAAAGAATCCGACATAATGTAATGTATAATATTGGGGTTGGGAAAATCATGCCAGAGGCAGAAATTATCAAAGAAAACAATTGGTAGATTTTGCTACATCAAAATTAAAAAAAAAAAAGATTAATGTTCTCATATTATAAACTAGGGACATCACATCATTAATATGGGATAAGAATATGAACAGGAAATACATGAGTGAAGATATAGAAATTAACAGTAAGTATAAAATTATTATTCAACTTCATTAATTGGTAATCAAAGAAATGCAAATTGAAATAATGAAAATTTTGACAATCAAATTTGCAAAGATACAGAAATAATGTGTTAATTGTGCAAAGAACTTGGCACTCTTGAACACTGCTGTGAAAGTGGAAGTTGGTATAGACTTTCTGGAGGGAAATTTGGCAAAAATATCAAAAGTCCTAAAATATGTGTGCCATCTGACTGAGTGATTTTACTTCTAGGCATTTTTTTTTTTTTAAAAACCATAACCATGATTTTATTCAAATATTTGTCCCTTGGGATAGTCTTCACAGTGTTGCTTATAATAGTGAAAAAACGGCTGGATGTTAACCCTCAAAATGTCAATAGTCATCCTCTCCATGTGACGGGACTACGAGTGAATTGACTTCTTTGTGCTCTTTTGTATTTTCCAAAATCAATAAGTAAACTTTTGTCTACAGGTTAAAATGTTATTTTAAAGATGGAGGACAAAGAAATTGTGAACGATATCACATACCACACAGACTCATAGTGTAAGGACTAAAAATTGATGGTTGGTGTTGGCAACATGTGACCTTGCCACAGTGGGGTGGGCTGTAGGCAGATGGTAGTGGGTAGAAGAATCATTGGTAAGGGACTGGAAAGCCTTCTAGAGGTATCTTTCAAGACGCTTGGCTAAGGAAAGAGAGGAGACAAAGTGGTAGCTAGAGAGGTATTACTATCACCTGTCTGTTTGTTTGTTGTACTGTGGTGGCTTACGTGCTGCTGTGATGTTGGAAGCTATGCCACCAGTATTTAAAAAACCAGCAGGGTCACCCATGGTGGACAGGTTTCAGCAGAGCTTCCAGACTAAGACAGACTAGGAAGAAAGGCTTTGTGATCTATTCCAAAAATCAGCCAATGAAAACACAATGGATCATAACAGCATATTGTCCAATACCATCTTGCCTTCTTAGGTCGGAAGGCACTCAAAACATACAGTGCCCACAACAATGGACTCAAGCATACCAAGGATTGTGAAGATGACACAGGACTGGACACTGTTTTGTTCTGTTGTACACGGGGTCGCCATGAGGCTAACAACAACAGAGAGGTATTTGGGACATTTGGTAGAGTTTTTTTTTTTTTAGGATGGAAAAGACCTGACCATGTTTACAGGCTAAGAAGAAGGATAAGTAGAGGGAAAGGTCAAAGCTGGAGAAAAGAGAACTGAAAATGGATGGAGAAGAGCCCAGAGAAGAGGGAAGAGGAAAGTGTTTTGAGTGATGCTGGGGCCCCAGTTGGGGTAGGAGGGAGGCCATGACTTTACTGTGGTCTTAATCTACCTGGATGTAGGATTTCTCCCAGAAGCACTCGGCATGGGAGCATACAGACTAAGTAGGTGATTTGATCTACAGTAGAGCGTCTGCTTGGGGGATGGTGCACGGGAATTGGGGATGTCAGTGAGAACATGGTTCAGGTAGAAGCATGAGGATCCAAGGTCAAACTGAGTACGGAGGTGAAGTCCAGAGCAGCCGTCAGATAGGAAAAGGACGGATGGGTCTTATGTCAGAAAGTATCAATAAGAGCAAAGGACAAATGGCAAAGGGCAGCAGTAGGGGCAATGAGGATGAAAGAGCTGGTTTGATATGGTCAAAGTTGCGCTCTTGTTTAGGGGTCTGGATGTTGTCTGGTGTAGGGGGATAAGAGGATGTGTGTGCATTTTATAGTCAGCTGGTTATGTCTTAGGTCCTCAGTGGACCTTAGATCCTAAAGGGTCAGCAGGGGGAGGGCAAGGCCCTAACTCTTATAGTGTCTTACTCATGCTCGTTGGTGTTCAATATTTCAAACAGACTGATTGGAGAGCAGATTCTTTCTGATAGGAAGACCCATTTCCATAGCAAAGGCTCAGAAAAGCTCAGAAGTCATTTCCCCTTCTCTGAACCCCCTCCCCTGTGGGCTCCCAGCCACCTACCCTGTTTACACATCCCCAGTTCCCATCTGACTGTTCCCCCTCCGCCCCTTTCCATTCTCGCCAGGACTCACCGAGAAGGACCTTCCTGCTAAGTTGGAGGATTTGACAACCTCTGTCACACTGACATTCAGGCACGTGTGGTCTGTAGCAGGAGCAGCAGCATGCGGGAAGTAGGTGGGCCCTGAAATTGGGCAGAGGAGACGGGGGGCAGGTTTGGATGGGCCTCCAGGGATGTAGGGGAGTTGGAGGTCCTAGGTCCTAAGAAGACCTCCATGAAGGCATTTTGACACTATTTTCCCAGCTCAACTCCCACCCACACCCTGCTCAGCCCCTCTTCCTGAGTCCATCTTGGTCCTAGTCAATGTGGATGATCTGGTTCCTTCCAGATCATCTCTCTTCCCTGGCGAACCTACAAAGTTTCTCTATCCTCAGGCATAGTGGCCATCACCAGCCTAAATCCCCACCCACCACCCTTTCTTCACCTCCTTCTGCACCCATTTTTCAATGGAAGAGAGTTCTGTTGAACTTCCCCACAGATATTAGACATGCTAAGAATGTAAAGTACACCTAGCCCAGGATTTTGTTTACAACAGAGGCACCAAGGGGATGTTGGAGGGTATTCATCCCCAAAGGTTGAGAGTGTTTCCTCTGACTTTCTTAATGGTGTACAGTGTCTCAAAAGTGATTATTGTGTGATGCTTCCCAGGCCTAGTACAGAGGGTTCTTTCCTGTCTCTGCCTCTGGGGAGCATTTTGGCACCACCATACCAGTTCTGATAGAATTTTGGGGGGAAAAATTTGGAGGAGGCAGATGACCTAGAGTGGGAGTGGCTAGGGTGAGAGTCTTATGAAGGAAATAGAAGAAATACAATTTTAAAAATAAGAGCTAACATTTGTAGTTTACGATGTATACCTAAAGCAGTACCTTTTATTATCTCCATTTTAGAAATGAAGAAACAGAGAGGTCACAAGTAACTCACCCAATGTCACACGGATAGTAAGTGGCAAAGCTGGGATTTGAACCATGCCAATCTGACTCTAGAATCTGCTCTCTTGACTCACTGTTTTATAACCACCTCTGGGTTAAGAGTTATTTCCAAAACTGCAAGTCTCCCTTGTGGTGTTAAAGACCTACAAGTAAAAACTGTTTTGGCTGTGACAGAGTTTCATGTCATCCCCAAAAATTTATCTTAGCTGCTCAGGAATTGTTAAAATCGAATACCTGTTTCTTGAGTTTTCGCCTTTGTGCCAGATGCAAAGTAATTTAGGAGCTATGACGCCCACAGAAGCACACACATGCATTGCCGACAGAGAGGTGTCATCATTGGCATGCTAGCAAAGCCCTCAAAGGATTTTAGGAACAGAAGTAGTTACTTCTAGTTGGATGCAAGAGGACAGATCAGAGATGGCTTTCTTCTAGGCATTCCAGCAAAGCTAATGTGTATTTTCATTTTGTATCTCTTCTAGAATATTCCAAATGCATCCATTTTTTAAAAACACCTTTTTGGGGGTATAAAGTAGTACTTCATTTATTCAACAAATGTTTGAGTAGCTATTATGTGGGGATAGAGTGATGAACAAGACAGATCCCTGCTGGGTGGACATTCTTCTACAAGTACCTGTGGGTAGCATCCCTTCAGTCTCATCTGTTGAGGTTTGGACTTAGAGTGGAGGCAGTGTGGTGCAGCGGTGAAAAGCATGGACTCCTGTGTGAGACAGGCTGGGTTTGAATCCCAGCTCTGACGCTTTCTCACATCGTGATCATGGGTAAATTATTCTCTCTGCTGCAGCTTCCAGTAAAAAGTTGCTAACACTAATAATGCCTATCTGATAGGGTTAATACACTCAAAAGAGTGAATGTGGTCCACATGCTTAGAATACCACCTGACCTCTGGGAAATGTGGGCAGTGGTTAGTAACCCTTTTTGTTATTCCAGGAGACCAAGTTCCCCCAGGGCCTAGGCAGTTTTAGGTAATTAGGACTAGTGGTGCCTTCTGTGAACTGGACGGTACCTGCCCAACGGAATGACATTCAAAATAAACGCGTTCCAAACAAAATGCAACAAACTCTACAGGTCCAATTCAGAGGCAGAAGGCCACCTGCAGCCCCTTCATGTGGCCCATATACCTTTCAACTTGTGTCTAATCAGGCCTCGGAGGCCCAGTCCCTACTGGTAGAGAGCGCTCTGTTCCCCTGGGTATGTGTTACTAGGCGGTGAGCAACCTGAGGGCGGACAGCTTGTCTTCCCCCGGGCAGCACGAGTAGGAGCTTGGCCCCCGCGGTGATCATGGTGACTGCGGAAGCTCTCCCTCCCCCAGTCACCCATCTTCTAACGTTGGAGCCCCCTCCTTCTCTTCCTCCTGCCTTCCCTTTTTTGTCCCTGTGTCCCTCTGTGCTCTGTTTTCCCAGCTCCTCACCTTCAGTGTCATTGGCTGGAATGGCCTTCAGGACCAGCCCAGTGGCCCGCAGGGAAGCAGTGACCTCTCGTGCCCGGTGGCTGAGCAGGGCCTGGGGAACAGGATGTAGGAACAGACGGGGCTCCTCAGGACAACCCCCATACATCCTCACATCAGCAGTGTGTACCTCTCTCCCTGCTTCCTGCCCCTGCCCTGTGAGTGTTGTCTGTGTCACTAAAGTCCAATAAGGGGCCAGCTGACAGGCTTAGAGTATTCCTAGCCCCAGACAGCATCTTCAGCCTTCCAGATCAAAGGATGAAATCTCCAATGAAATAAGTTCAAGCAACTGGCCCGCTAGTGAGGAAGGTATTTTTGAGCAAGGGGACATCACTCTTGTCCCTTAACTGAGATCACCGTCTTGCTTATATGTAAGGGCAATCTTAACCCACCCACCTTGTAAGACTGTCTGAAGCCTGGGGCACTCTGGGGGCAGCTTTAAGAAAAGGGGCATAAAGTTCCTTTGGCTCTGCCTGCTTCCCTTGGCTGCCATCCAGCTGTCCCTCCCAGCTACTTCCTGACCATGCCCATGTACCGTGACCCAAGCACTGACCTTTTCGTAGCAAATGAAGAGCTCAGCCCCTTGGCCCTCAGCCACGCCTCTCTTCTTGGGTGAAAAACCATCTGAGGGAAGATGAAAAAACAACAACAATAAAAAACCCGTTGCTGTAGAGTCGATCCCAACTCATGATCACAATATGTGTGTGAGAGTAGAACCATGCTTCATAGATTTTTCAATGGCCTTTCTTCCGTGGCATGGCTGGGTGGATTCGAACTGCCAACCTTTTGGTTAGTAGCCAAGTGCGTTAACCATTTGTGCCATCCTTACAAGAGGCTTAAGGTGTGAGGTCCCACCCCTTCCACCTGGCTTCCCCACCTCCCCTAGGGCCGCAGCTGAGCTGTTGGATTTTCATGTTCTGTCTCCCTGGATGGAAAGGCAGCAGTCAGAGGTGCCCGGCCGCCTTTCAGTCTGGGAGAGCCTGGGGAGAACGGAGGGCAGCCCGGGTACTCAGCAGGGGTGTGGGATAGTGCAGGGGGAGCTGTTACTAGGTGAGGGGTGGAAGGACTTTCTGGAAAAGCGTCTTGGGAGAAGCTGAGTCAGGGTGAGCTTCAGAAGAGGGAAACCAGGTGCTCACCTTTGGGGAATTTGGAGTCTTGGATCTTCACCTTGAGCTCGGTGAGGAAAACGTCCTCGGCAGGGTCCTGGCTCAGCTCGCTGAAGAAGATCTGGAGAGAGGAAGGAGGGGCTTCGTAGAGGCTGACTTCTTCGGCCAGAGGCAGCCTTCACACCAGCCCGAGTATGTGGAGAGTGGGAGACAATGTTCAGGACAGGGCTGGTGTCCCCCTACCCATCCTGCCAATAAAAGAGTCTGAGCTGCATAAAAATGATTACCTGGATCTGAATTTATCCATATCTATCGCGATAGGAAATATTTATAAGGAGTGGAATAAACTATTAATGAAAACCCAAACTATCGGTTGCCACTACTGTCTAACGGGTGTGGCGGGGCGGGGGGACCCAGGGACAAAATTCACATAAGGGGAGAGTAACTACAGTGTCTTAAGACACTGGCAGGGGAGAGAACTTGTAGGGTCCTGGATATGCAGAGAGAAGCTGGGTGAGGGCAGGGCTGGTAAGAGCTGGTTTGCTCTTGGGGAGAGACTGTGGAGATTTGGCGGGAGGGGTGGCTCCTGAGAGCACAGGGCAGAGAAGGGAGGAGAGGTGAGGTGTGGATGGGGGAGGATAAAGGATGTCAGAGACAACACGGGAGAGTGGCCAAAGGATTTCTGAGAACAGGGATGCAAGGAATAAAAAAGCAGCCCCTGAAAGCCAGGAGCTGGCCTGGCGCTAACAACTCGGCCTTGGCGTTTTGTTGACCGTGAACAATTTCACAGAAGGCCAACAGCAGGCAAGGCCTGTAAAGAGAAGGGATGAAGACAAAAACCAGACCACTCCATAATCCTGTGAAAACACAGACAAAAACACGAACAGTGTGCGAACTACCCCTCCCGTCCTCCTAACCTGGCAAATATGAGCATCTGCTGCTTCTTTACCCTCACAGCTCTAGCCTTTCAGATAAGAGTATTGAAATACGCAGTCACAGAATTGCACCCACTTACTGAGAGTATCCGATCTAGAGCAAAGCCCTGATTTTTTGGGCCCTCCCCCAAATCACCTATGATTCCAAATCCCATATTAAGTCTTTATACATATATATACACACACACATATACATATATTTATATAACAATAATTTATAATAATATATAAAATAAAAATAATTTTATTTTGTTGTTGAGAATATACACAGCAAAACACACCAATTCAACAGTTTCTATACGTACTATTTAATCACACTGATTACATTCTTTGAGTTGTGTAACCATTCCCACCCTCCTTTTCTGAGTTGTTCCTCCCCACTAACATAAATTCACTGCCCCTTAAGGTTCCTATCTAGTGTTTTGAGTTGCTGTTGTCAGTTTGACCCCATATAGACAGTTCTTAAAAGAACAGAATGCTCAAGGCAGATATTTTTTACTAGTTAAGCTAAACTGTTGTTTGGTTTTAAGAAGACTTCAGGGGATATTTTTGGTTTAAAGTTTAAAGATTATCTCAGGGCGGTAGTTTCAGGGTTCATCCAGCCTTCATGGTTCCAGGAAGTTTGGAGTCCATGAGATTTTGAAATTCTGTTCTGCATTTTACCTCTTCTGATCAGGATTCCTCTATGGAATCTTTGATCCAAATGTTTAGTAGTAGTAGCCGGGCACCATCCAGTTCTGGTCTCATGGCAGAGGAGGCAGTTGTTCATGGAGGCAATTAGCCACACATTCCATATCCTTCTCCTATTCCTGACTCTCCTTCTTCCTCTGTTCCAGGCAAATAAAGACCAATTGTAGTGCCCTGGATGGTTGCTTGGAAGCTTTGAAGACCCTAGTAACTACACCATATTACGTCCTTTCTAATACCTTCTTCCATCACCCATTTCTCAGTTTATTGTACTGTGGTGACTTGTGTGTTGCTATGATGCTGGAAGCTATGCCATGGGATTTCAAATACCAGCAGGGTCACCCATGCTGGGCAGGTTTTAGTAGAGCTTCCAGATTAAGACAAACTAGAAAGATTCGGTGATTTACTTCCAAAAATTAGCCAATGAAAACACTATGGATCACAACAGAATATGATCCAATATCGTGCTGGAAGATGAGCCTGCTAGGTTGGAAGGCAACTACACAATAGGTGCAACAATGGACTAAGTGATCATGAACATGGCACAGGACTGGGCAGTGTTTCATTCTATTATAATAAGGTCCTTATGAGTTGGAGCCAACTTGATGGCAACTAACAACAACAACACCTTCTTACTGAAATGCCTCATGGTTGTCCATGGTGTGTATTCTCTCTCATTGCAACAAGTCAGTAATCCCAACTTTGTTCAGCTACATGTATTCTCCTGGGGATGGTGACTGCTGATCCCAACCCCTGGCTCCAGGTGAACATGTGATCCATCTCCTTGGTCACAGTGCTTGGTGTAGGGATAAGCACTTACCTCAGTTCTTGGACTTTTACTGGAGCAGCTGGAACCCCCGGGGTTGCTAAACTAGAAAAATGTAGACCTGGAACTGCTAGTGGCCATCTTGCCACTGTGAGGTAAAAGCCTGTCTGAGGGAAGCAACTCAGAGTAATGTAGAGAAGGTGGATGAAGAGCGATACGAGAGAGATGAAGTCCTGGTGGCATTGTTTGAGTTCTCAAATCCAGCTTTTCTCAAACCACTCAGCCCAAAACTTTTCAGCAATGTGAGCCAATAGATTTTTTTTCTTACACTAGTTTTTAAGATTTCTGTTACTTGCAACAGAAGAGTCCTTACCAATACAAAACTAGAACCAGAAGTGGAGTTTCCAAGTGAAGATGCTAAAATGAGGAACTGGCTGGGTCCAAGTGGGGTGGATATGGGGTAGTAGCCTTCACAACTGGACCAATAAGCAACATCATGATAAATGAAGAAAATATTAAAGTTGTCAAGGATTTCATTTAAGTTAGATCCACAATCAACACCCATGGGAACAATAGTCAGGAAATCAAATGACGTATTGCATTGGACAAATCTGCTGGAAAAGACTTCTTTAATTAAAGTGTCAAAAAGCAAAGATGTCACTTTGAGGACTAAAGTGCATCTGACCCAAGCCATGGTATTTTCAATCCCCTCATATGCATGCAAAAGCTGGACAATGAATAAGGAAGACCGAAGAAGAACTGATGCATTTGAATTATGGTGTTGGCAAAGAGTATTGAATATACCATGGACTGCCAGAGAATGAACAAATCTGTTTTGGAAGAAGTACAGCCACAATTCTCCTTAGAAGTGAAGATAGTGAGACTTAGTCTCACGTACTTTGGACATATTATCAGGAGGGACGAGTCCCTGGAAAAGGACATCATGCTTGGTAAAGTAGAGGGTCAGCAAAAAAGAGGAAGACCCTCAACAAGATGAATTGATACAGTGGCTGCAACAAACATAGCAAAGACTGTAAGGATGGCACAGGACCGGGCAGTGTTTTGTTCTGTTGTACATAGGGTTGCTATCATGGATTGAATTATGTCCCCCAAAAATATGTGTCAACTCGGGTAGGTCATGATTCCCAGTATTGTGTGGTTGTCCTCCATTTTGTGATTGTAATTTTCCTATGTGTTGTAAATCCTAATCTCTGTCTGTGGTTAATGAGGCAAGATTAGATTATGTTAAAGAGGATTAGGGTGAGATCGTAACACCCTTACTAAGGTCACATCCCTGGTTCAATGTAAAGGGAGTTTCCCTGGGGTGTGGCCTGCACCACCTTTTTATCTTACAAGAGATAAAGGAAAGGGAAGTGAGCAGAGTGGGGGACCTCATACCACCAAGAAAGCAATGCTGGGAGCAGAGCATGTCCTTTGGACCCTAAGTTCCTGCACTGAGAGGTTCCTAGAACAAGGGGAAGATTGATGACAAGGACCTTCCTCCAGAACCGACAGAGAGAGAAAGTCTTCCCCTGGAGCTGACGCCCTGAATTTGAACTTGTAGCCTGCTGGACTGTGAGAGAATAAATTTCTCTTTGTTAAAAGCATCCACTTGTGGTATTTCTGTTACAGCAGCATCAGATGACTAAGACAGTCGCTATGAGTTGTAACCACTCGATGGCACCTAACAACAACAAAAAGTAGGGTGGAGAACAGTGAGAATTCTTCCATCCCTGGCTGGGAATTTGGAAATCTGCATTGTACAGTAACAAAGCAGCTGGTTAAAGTGCTGCCTGCTATGTCCCAGGACTCAGACCACGTGCCTACTGAAGCTGGAGCCTCAGGGGCTTAATAGAATAAAGCCAGGGTGTAGGAGTGTGTTGGCCACTTCCAGTTGTCTGCAGTAGGGCCACTAAGAAAGAGACAATGATCAGTAGAAGGTGGTCAATCTTAAAGCAGAGAAGGAAGAAACTGCTATAATTGTCCAAGAGAGGTCCTTTCTGCCTACATCAGCCAACAAGAGCTGAATAGTATTGGGAACTAAAGGCTTTAAAAGGCCAAATTCTCTGCCCCCATTTAATGCCAGAAAAGGTATACAGCTTCAAACCACAGTAGGATATAAGATTGAGACCTGGAAAAAACCTAATCCTCGAGTTCTTCCCTCGCAAGCACGCTGGTGTGTATATCCTCCATGGTAAGATAAATGGAAACTTCATAGTCTCAGAAGGTGTTTTGTTTGCTGTAGGTTATAAAGAGAGAATGAAGGGGAAGAACAAGGAGAGAGGGGATGACTGAAAGGGTCAGGTCCAGGAGGAGGAGGTGGTAGCAGATAGGTCAAGGACACAGATGAAGGCATTTGTTCTGAACTGGAGAAGTTCCACTGGAAAAGAACATGTGAAGATGGGAATGGGTGTAAATGCATTTCTAGGCATGGACAGGAAGTTTGGGGGAACCTTATGGCCTCAAATTTTTTCAGTGGTCTCTGAGTGGAAAGGTAATTTGCTGAAAGTAAAGGGCTTGAGGTGGCGAAAGTTGGAAAAGCTGATGTTCCAGAGGCAAAGGGAGTTTGCCAAGGGAGCAGCGTGGGCCCAGCTGAGGCTGGACACCGCAGTATGTAGAGATATCAAGTCGCAGGGCTGTGGATATTTTTCCCAGGTGATGCTCAGAAGCCCAGGTTTCTCAAAAGGTAAGGCACATTGTAAGCACTCATCTGGGGTTGGGTTTTGCTAGGAGGGGGGACAGTAGGGAAGGGATGCAAAGAAAGTGAAGGATGAGGTGAGACAGTGGTTCAGATGAGAAACTGCCTGGGCGGACATAGAAGAAAGGAGGCAGGGGGATGATGGATGTTGAGAAAATGGAAGGACCTGGAGGTGTCTAGGAGGTTGAAGAGAGGTATGGTGGGAGATCCTTGGAGGGATGGGAGTTTGTGACCAGAGACTGGAAAAACAGAGTTTAAGACATCTGAGGTAAAGCAGTTCCTGGTGATGACTTCCATGCCAGCTAATCCCTGATTCTCAATCTTCTACAGCAGCCAATTTCAAGGGATCAAGGGTGTTATGGATTGAATTGTGTCCCCCTAAAATGTGTGTCAACTTGGCTAGTCCATGATTCCCAGTATTGTATGATTGTCCACCATTTTGTTGTCATTTGATATGATTTTCCTATATGTTGTAAATCCTACCTCTATAATGTTAATGAGGCAGGACTCAATCTACAAGATTAGGTTGTGTCTTAAGTCAATCTCTTTTGAGATATAAAAAAGAGAACTGAGCAGAGAGACATGGGGACCTCCTCCTACCAAGAAAGCAAAGCCGGGAGAATAGCGTGTCCTTTGGACCCAGGGTTCCTGCGTGGAGAAGCTCCTAGACCAGGGGAAGATTGATGACAAGGACATTTCCCCAGAGCAGACACAGAGAGAAAGACTTCTCCAGGAGCTTGCACCCTGAATTCAGACTTCTAGCCTCCTAGACTGTGAAAGAATAAATTTCTCTTTGTTAAAGCCATCCACATGTGATATTTCTCTTACAGCAGCACTAGATAGCCTAAGACAAGGGCTAAGGAGAATTTTCCACATAAAGAAGATCTACTTCTTCTTGGATTAGAGATCTTATAAGATAATACTTATCTGATTCATCCAGAGATTAAGAAGATAAAGTTAACAGCCAAAAGTGTCTGAGCGAGTTTATTACTTGTATCCTAGTTCCTGTGTTTCTCCAGAGCCAGGGTATTCAGGTTATGGGGTCCTGGGGTCCAACAGGCTAGCATAGTATCCTTGGACCCCTAGGTGGGATGCTTACCTTGACTGTGAAGATCTGGAAATAGATGGGTTGGGTGCCCATGCGAACATAGTAGGTAATGACATCTAGGATGAAAGGGTCCACAGTCCGGGATGTATCCAAGGAGGGAGGCTGTGAGTGAGGCAGAGAATGTCTTCAGCCACCTCTCTCCGTGTGGGAGGTGCCATTTTCTTAATAGAGAAACTCCAAAGCCCCCACATACCCTCTGTGATGCACTAACCTAGCTGGTCCTTCAATATGCTCCAAGCCTTTCCTCCCTCCCAGCTTCTACTCCTCATCAAAATATGCCTGTTTAGAGCCCCATATTCCCAGGTATCCTAATTCAATTCAATTTCATAAACAAATATTGAGCACATGTATATGTAAGACACTGTGCTAGGTGCTTTGAGAAGACAAGATGCTTGAAAGTATAACTAATGATGAACGAGCCTGGACTGGGTTCTAGGCTTGGATCAGCCACTCACTAGCCAGGTGACCTTGGGCAAATTACTCAACTCTTTGAAGCCTGAGTTTTCTTCTAGGGAAAATGAGAAGTTGAACCAGATGGTATGAAGTCTCTTTCAGCTCTGGTGGTCTCTGAATCTATTAATAAACTAATTAATGTTTACATGTTTTGGGGAAAGGACTAGTGTCCCCTAGGCCCTCCCCAACTCCATATGATTATAAAGCATAATAGAACATCTATATAGAATCTTGTAAGGATTGGAAAGAAGTTTAGAGTTTATCTCATCCAATTCATATCCAATCCTGTAATATCTTTTCTGACTCTCACATCTGGTCTGTTGAAATACTGCTCCCTTCAAAAAGGTCACAATGGGAACTATAAATGTATCCTAACAGCGCTGTCATTGCTCAGAATGTTTCACGTCTCTTCTTGTGGAAACTGCTTTTGGAGTAAGTATAAAAGCCACATAAATTGTTCGTTATAAGGGGAAGGAAGGGGGGAATAAAATCAAAATCCTACATGCATCCGGGCAGGAAAAAAAAGTTCCAACAAAGGAACACAAATGAGGCCTGCATCAGATGTTCCTCTTCCTCTTATAATATACTCCAAGTTCTGAGGAAAAGGTATTTTAATACCCAGCCAGAGTGTCTGTCATGTATATACAGACACATTTTCAGATAAGCAATAGTTCAGAAAATATGCCCCCCCAAATACCTTTATTTGAATAGAAATATAAGAAGACATAGCTTAATCAAGCAAGCAATATGGCAAAATTGAGAGCTCAGTAAGGTGGCAAGTTAAAATATAAATATGTAATATACTAGCAATAAGTACTAACCAAATATAACAGGAAAGATACCATTCACAACAGCAAGAAAAAATATCAGACATGAGGAATGATTTAGGAAGAAACGGGCAAAAGTATATGATGAAAATGGTACAGCTATACTGAGGGATATATAGAAGGCTTTAATAAATGAAGAGCTATACCATGCTCCCAGAAGGGGAAACTTTATATGCTGAAAAAATTCTCCCCCAGATTTCCATCAGAATTTCAGTGGGATTAAACAAAAAAGCCCAACTTGTCAATGAGATTCTAGAGCTTATCTGGAACAATGAATAAACAAGCACAGCCTGGAAAGTCTTGGAAGAGAAGAGTACGGAGGTGGGGTTACCCGGCCAGAAATTAAAATATAAGCCTGTTAATTTGTATAGGAATTAATAGATCAATGAGAAAGAATAGATATCTAGAAATACACTCAAGCATACGTATGAATCTAAAAAGTGATAACACCTCTACAACAAAAAGACAAATAATCCTATTAAAAAATGGGCAAAGGAAACGAACAGACACTTCACCAAAGAAGACATGCAAATGGCCAACAGACACATGAGGAAATGCTCGCGATCACTAGCCATTAGAGAAATGCAAATTAAAACCACAAGGAGATACCATCTCACCCCGGCATTACTGGCACGAATCAAAACCAAATGTTGGAGGAGCTGCGGGGAGATTGGAACTCTTATGCACTGCTGGTGGGAATGCAAAATGGTACAACCATTTTGGAAAATGATATGGCACTTCCTCAGAAAGCTAGAAATAGACATACTATTCGATCCAGCAATCCCACTCCTAGGAATATATTCTAGAGAAATAAGTCGTCACTCGAATAGATATATGCACACCTATGTTCATGGCAGCATTGTTCACAATAGCAAAACGATGGAAACAACCTAGATGCCCATCAACAGATGAATGGATAAACAAACTATGGTATATACACACAATGGAGTACTATGCAACGAGAAAGAACAACAATGAATCTGTGAAGCATCTCATAACATGGATGAAACTGGAGAACATTATGCTGAGTGAAATAAGTCAATCACAAAAAGACAAATATTGTATGAGACCTCTATTGTAAAAACCCATGAAAAAGTTCACACACAAAATGTAACAATCTTTGTTGGTTACCAGGGATGGGAGGTGTGGGGGGGGGGAATACTAAATAGGCAATAGATAAGTGGTATCTTGGGTGAAGGGTGAGACAGTACACAATACGGGGGAAACCAGCACAACTTGTACAAGGAAAGGTCATGGAAGCTCCATAGACACATCCAAACTCCCTGAGGGACTGAATTTGCTGGGTGGAGGGCTGTGGGGACCATGGTCTCGGGGAACATCTAGCTCAATTGGCATAACACAGTTTATAAAGACAATGTTCTACATTCTACCTTGGTGAGTAGCGTCTGGGGTCTTAAAAGCCTGTGAGCAGCCATCTAAGATACTGCACTGGTCTCATCCCTTCGGGAGCAAGGGAGAATGAAGAGAACAGGATACAAGGGAAAGATTAGTCCAAAGGACTAATGGACCACAGCTACCAAGGCCTCCACCGGACTGAGTCCAGTAGAGCTAGATGGTGCCCGGCTACCACCACTGACTGCTCTGACTGGGATCACAACAGAGGGTTCTGGACAGAGCTGGAGAAGGATGTAGAACAAAATTCTAACTCACAGAAAAAAAAAGACCAGATTTACTGGCCTAAAGGAGTCTGGAGAAACCCCGAGAGTATGGCCCCCAGACACCCTTTGAGCTCAGTGGTGAAGTCATTTCTGAGGTTCACCATTCAGCTGGGGAGTGGATAGCCCCATAAAACCAAATGGGACTAATGAGGCACTAATGAGCAGTCCACGGACAAGGGCCAGAAGGCAGAAGGGGACAGGAAAGCTGTGATAGGGAACCCAAGGTTGAGTAAGGATAGTGTGAGGTTGTTAACCATTGTCACAGGGCAACATGTGTACTGACTGTTAAATGAGAAACTATTTTGCTCTGTAAGCCTTCATCTAAAGCGAGAATAGCAGCACAACTGGAAGAGCATAGTCAATGTCACTGAACTGTGCATGTAGAAATTTTTGAAATGGTGTATCTTTGGCTATATGTATTTTCACCAAAAAACAAAAGCAAAAACAAAAAAAGTCGAGAAGGGAGAGGGTTGACATGTTGTGGGGTTGTTAACCAATGTCATAACACAATATGTGTACTACTGATTCATGAGAAGCTATTTGTTCTGTAAGCCTGCACCTGAAGTACACTAAAAAATTTAAAAAAATAAAATAAAAAAATAAAAAGTGATAGCAGTGGCATTTCAAATTGATGGGACAAGGTGACTTAGGCAATAAATAGCTTTAGGGTACACATTTGGAAAAACTAAAATTACACACTTACCCTAAACACTGAAATTAATTGCAGATGGGTTATTTATTTAAATGTAAACATTGACATAATAAAAGCATGAGAATATAAGATCAGTGAATATTTATTTAATATTGGCATGGAGAAGGCCTTTGAAAGGTGGAAACCATAAAGAATAAAAGAGTGCCAGTTGGAATTGACTCGCAGCACCTAACAACAACATTGTCGGACCCCATAAAGGAATTAAACTTCTGTAAGTCCAAGAAACATTACTGACAAAACCGAAAGGCAAAGGACAAAGTAGAAAAAAGTCTGCAACAAATATGGCAGCACAAATGGTAAGATTCTCTTAACATATAAAGGTGCTTTTCCAATCAGTTAAAGACAAGCTTATTCCCCACCCAATAACTGGGGGTGTGGGGTGGCAGTATCGTTTGTGGTTATGAGAACATGTTCTACTTATGTGAAGTACTTAGAATAGGCAAATGCTTAGAGATGGACGTTTATTAGTGGTTGCCAGGAGCTGGAGGGAGGGGCAAATGGAGTTATTACTTAAGGGGCACAGAGTTTCTGCTTAAGAGGAAAAAAAAACAGCTGCTGTAGAGTCATTTCTGACTGACGGTGACCCCATGTGTCTCAGAGCAGAACTGTGCTCTGTAGGGTTTTCAATGACTGATTTTTCAGAAGTAGATTGCCAGGCCTTTCTTCCAAGGCACCTCTGGGTGGACTTGAACCTCCAAACTTTCAGTTAGCAGCCAAGTATGTTAACTGTTCGTACTACCTAGGGACTCCAATTCTGTTTAGGGGGATGAAAAACATTTGAAAATGGATAGTGGTGATGGTGGCACAAGATGGTGAATGTAATTGGTGTCACTGAATTGTACACTTAAAAATGTTTTACATGGCAAATTTTTTTGTTACATATATTTTACCACAATAAAAAGAGTGAGAGAGAGAGAATGAGCTCTGGAGTCAAGCCGCCTGACCTCCAAGTGAGACTGTTCTCTCCTTTTGTTACTTTGGGCAAGTTTGCTAAGCTCCCTGTGCCTCAGCTACTTGATCTGTAAAATGGGGATGTGACAGGAGTACCTACCCCACAGGGTTGTTGTGAGAATTAAATGAGCTGTGACCTTCATGTGAGTGTTTGAACCACGCTGGCATGTAGTAAAAGATCAGGAAACATTAGCAATTATAATCATACAAAAGTTATCATAGAAAAGTCACAGGAGAAATATAATTGAGCTACAAGTTTACAGAAGAATATTTTACTTCATGTTTTCCACAGTGGTTTGGTCCAAAGCAGGCGCCTGGTACATGTTCCAGATGAATCCAAAGGTACTAACTGGCTAGGGCTCCTCTCCTCAATTCCCTTCCTGCATCATCTGCCCCTGGGCTCCCTGGGACAGACCATTGAGGTCAAAGATCCCAGGGCAAGGTCTGAAAACACGCCCGCCCCCACTTCCATCCCACTGCCACGTCCTGCCCGCTGGGCTCTTCCTTCGCCCCCTCCCAGACTCCACGCCCTCCTCCTTCCACCTGACCCTCACTGCCCCTACCATCTCAGCCAGCTTGTGGATGGCCGGGCACAGAGTGTTGACGGTGTTCTGGTACCACCTGTCCACGCGGCCCAGGAATGTAGCCAGTTCTCCGAGCTCTGGCTGCCTGGATGCTGTGGGCTCCTGGGGGTGAGAGGAGTGGGGCAGACCTGTTAGGCACCGTCTCCCCAGCTGGCAGGTCCCCAGATACCATCAGCCTTGTTTCTAGTTCCAGGCAAACCGGCTTTGTGAATGTGGGCAAAGCACTTAACCTCTCACGGTCTCCATTTCTGCACCCCGTGAAGACGAGTTTTTGTTTTGCCTTATACCCTAGAAGAAGCTGGGACACCCCTCACTGAGGGTCACTTGCCAAGAACACTGAAAAAGGATCATTAGTCTTAACAGGGGACAGATGATGATTGCTTTGACTTTAACGTAGCTAATGCAGATGGACAAAGAGTGGGCAACGGACAGTAAAGCCGCACGCTCAACAGCACTTCCCGCCACTAGATTAACCTGCTTCCTTTGCCCGAAATTCCCATGTATGGGATCCCAGGAAGTGTGATTGTGCGGTGTGGTGTGTGCATGTGCGTATGAGTGTGTGTGTGTGTATCGTATATGTATGAGTGTGTGATGTATGTGTGTGGTGTCTGTGTGAGTATGATTGTGGGAGTGAGTGTGTGTGGTATTTGTGGTGTGGGTATGGTGTATGTGTGAGTGCGTGGTATATGTGTGTGGTACGCGTGTGAGGGTGTGGTGTGTGTGAGTATGTGTGGGAGTGAATGTGGGGTGTGTGGTACTTGAATGTGTAGTGTGTGTACGTGTGTGCGTATGAGTGTAGGAGAGAGTGTAGTGTTGTGGTATTTGAATGTGTGTGGTGTGTGTGTGTGGGATTTGAATGTGGTGTATGTGTGAGTGTCCCATGTAGAGGACAGAGAGAGCCCGTAGGCAGACAGCCCCTTTCTGGCTGTTCCACTAATCCTCTGTCCTTCCCCTCCCTGGGGCTCAGGTTCCGCTTCTGCACCAGTTTTAAGGAACAACCACTGCCCTGGTGCCTGTTGGCATGTGGGATGCAAGCCTGTGGGACTGAGAGCCCACATTTCAGGAGAAGCTTGCAATTAATTCCATTAAAACAAAACGCGAAAACAGTGATGGGCAGGCAGCTACGGTGAGAGAAAGTGTCTCCAGCCACATTAAGCCCCCAGGGCACCCATTTGTAGCTTCTGGAACAGAAGACTCTCAGCTCCACATTCTAGGGATGGTGACTTTACTCCCACGGGGGAGCCACAGGGATGTGAGACTGCAGGTGGGTCCTGCCCAGTCCCATCCTTTGTCTGCCCAGCCCCTAACCCAGACCCTTGCTCCTGATGCCCTCCTTCCCTCCTCCCCCACGGTCCCCTCCTGTCCTTACCCGTCCAGTCACCTCAGGGGCCAGGATGGGGATGTAGTAGAACTGCAGGCTGAGTCTGGGAGTGAGGTAGAACGTCTGGGTCTCTCGTTTCCTGGCAGCAGGCAGCAAAGCAAAGGGAGTCAGAGCAGAGGTTTGAACAGACTCAGCTCCACATCCTAGCTCTGCCACTTCTTATCTCTTGACTTTCTGCAACTTACCTAACCTCTCTGAGCCTCTGTTTTCTCACCTATAAAATGGGGGCAGTGATGTCTGCGTGGTAGAGTTATGCTGAGGATCAACAGCACTGACAAGCGTAAGGAGAGGGCAGTGCCCTGCACACAGGGGGTGCGTGGTGATAGTGGTGCCCAGCGTCTGCCCCCATCCCTCCAGCCTCTGCCTCCTGACCCTCGTTCTCTACTCCTGATCCTTCCCCAGCGTACACCGGGCCCTCCTGTGCCCCGGCCAGCCCCTCGGAGCCCTACCTGAGGGTGTGGTACGCCTGGGCCAGGCGCCCCAGCATCCTGTCATCCCCCAGCACCAGCACCCGGGCTGTGTGCACCCGGGAGACCCCAGGCAGCAGCTCCCCGTCCCCACTGAGCCCGCCCGTCCTCCGGTGCAGCCCTGGGGGTCCATGCCAGCTGTCAGGCAGCAAGAGGTCTGGGAGCCACGCCCGCTTCTTAATGCCTCCTTTGCGCTGCAGCCCGGCTCGCTCCATCTCAGGGCTGCTGGGTGCAGGTGGCTCGTCAGCCCCCAAAGGAAGGTCCCGCTCGATGCCACTGTCAGTGGACAGCATGGACACCCGGGCCAACTCGTGGTCTGGCGGGAGGCCCTGCAGATCCAAGGCCTCCAGGTCAGCGCTGAGGCGGAGGTAGGATTGAGGGCGAAGGAAGAGCACCAGTTCCTTCCCTGTGAGGCAGAGAACAAGGAAGGTCAGGGCAGTGAGGAGCATGAGACTAGCAGGTCTCACCCAAAAAAAACCTGTCATCCCATGTTCCTTAAACACTGCTCAGCTGGACAGAAGCCACACAGATGCTAAACAAGCAAACAAACAAATGGTTCTATGGTCAACCCAGTTTGGGAATCCCGCACACTCCTGCCACCTCTTGTTGAGTTCCATTAGTAAACATATTAAAGCCTCTGAGAAGTCCTGCAGTAAAGAAATCTGCTTAGTCCAGTCTTTCCCACATTTATCTGATCCTGGAGCCTTCTTTTTCATATGCACTCATGTTATGGATTGAATTGTGTTTCCCCCAAATATGTGTTAAGATCCTAATCCCTGTACCTATAAATATGGCCCTGTTTGAAAATAGGAGTTTTCTTTTATGTCAATGCAGTCGTATCTGAGTAGGGTGGGACTTAAACCTAATCCCTTCCGAGTTAAGAAAAGAGCAAAATAGACACAGAGACACACACACACGGGCAAGATGCCGTAAGAAGACAGACACATCGGCAGATGCAGCTACAAGCCCAGGAGCTCCGAGAACTGCCGGCTTCTAGACCTGATTGGGTCAGCTCTACTCTGTCCCCTGGGGTCGCTATGAGTCAGAATCGACTCGACAGCAACAGGTTTGGTTTTTTTAGACCTGAAATAGACAAAGGATTTGCCCCCAGCGCCACACTCTGAATTTGGACTTCTAGCCTCCTGAACTGTGAGAAAAATCAATATCTGTTCTTTAAAGCCACCCACTTGTGGTATCTGTGTTACAGAAGCGCCAGGGAAATCCGCTCATCACCACCCTCCCACACCCCATAGCTTCCTCTGGGACACCTCTGGGCTTTTCTAATCTTCCTTCCTTTCCTTACAGATGAGTAAACTGAGGATCATAGAGGGAACGGAGTCCATCTAGTGTGACTCAGTAAGTGGAAGGAAGTGCCAGGCCTTGAACCCAGTTCACATGTTGTCTTAGTTATCTAGCGCTGCTATAACAGAAATACCACAGTGGATGGCTTTGACAAACAGAAACTGATTCCTCACAGTTTAGAAGGCTAGAAGTCTGGATTCAGGGTGCCAACTCCAGGGGAAAGCTTTCTCTCTGTGTTGGCTCTGGGAGAAGGTCCTTGTCTCTTCAGTTTGTTTCCTGTTTCCTTGAAGAGCTCATGTGGGCTGGCATCTATCTTCCCCCATCTCTGCTTGCTTAATCTGCTCCTTTTATATCTTGTAAAAGACTGACTCAAGACACACCCTACACTAATCCTGCCCATGAACATAACAAAGACAACCCATTCCCAAATGGGATTATAACCACAGGCGTAGAGTTTAGGATTTACAATGCATTTGGGGGACATAATTCAATCCATAACACCTGTCCTGTGCCTCTCACTCAAGCATACCTGCCAGGGGTCCAGTGGGACACCCGAGTTCAGGTGAAGTGTCAGGGGAGTGGAGCTCTCTGGACGGTGCTCCCAGCTCTGGGGAACCATAGCTTTTTTGTGCCTACCTGCTCCTTGGGGACAGTGTCTACTGGTATCATCATGGGCATGTGGCACTTACGAGACCCAGGAGGCCAGTGGCTAATCCACTGTGCTATTCTGACGTCGAGAAAGTGTATCCTTCTTCCAGATGTGTGGAACAACTCAGGGAAGGGGACAAGGAGCACACACACACACACACCACTCTTTCCAGCCAGCTGCGCACAGAGGAGCCTCTTTCTGCAGAGGCCCCAGCTCGGCACTTACAGAGCTGCTCCTTATCGGTCCACAGGTGGAAGGTGATGTGGGGGCTGGGCAGGGGGATGCTTGGTGGCCGGTCCTGGAGAGGGTCACCTGAAGGAAGGAGCAGTCTGTGGAGATCACAGACAGGAGGATGATGGGATTCTTCTGTGCCCTCCCGCCCTCCCCAGCTCCTGCTAGGGACCTAAAGGGGGGTGGCAGAGACCGTCTCCCTCCCTACCTGGTCTGGCTGAGCCTTCCTTACCATGTGGCTTCCCTTCCTTTCCATCTCTGCCACAGTCAGCTCATCCAGGGCCTAACATTGCAGCTGTCACCCCCTGCACAAGAGTTCTTAGCGGTTCCCTTTTCCTACAAACTTCTCAGCCCAGCATTTAGGGCCCATCACAAACCAGCTGCGTGTGCTGTTTTTTCCACCCTTTTCGCCCCGGGCTGCCCCCCTTGTCCCGCACCCCACCTTGTGCTGTTGCTGAGCTGGTTTTCCCAATGTTCCCTCAACTCCCTGTCTGCATCCAGACCAGGAGGACAAGGCCTCTGTTTCTCTCAGGACCTCTGCAGTATCTTGCACACAGTCGACACTCAATTAACATTCACTCCAGTGTGTGGTACAGAAGAGACCTCAGCAGCAAAGTGCCAAGGGCAGCAGGAACTGGGGCAGACCAGGGCCGGTCCCTGCTCCTGCCCCTCCTCCTGGAAGCCTTCCTGACCGCTGCCCTCCCAAGCAGACCTTACTGTCTACATGTCAGGCACACTTCACGTGTAGCCTTAGGGTTTGGCTCTCGTTCGTGTTCCTGTTTAACTTCCGCACAGCTGTGGCTCCCTCCCTAACGAGGCAGCAGGCTTCCTTGTGGGAGAGCAACCAGCATTTACGGAACACCACCTGCCAGGCACTGTTCTACTCACCTTATGCACGGTAAACCATCTGACCGGATCCTGCCAACACCCCTGGGCAGCAGGTACTACTATGATCCTCAGTTGACAGAGGAGGAACCAGGGGCACAAAGAGGTTAAGTAACTGGGCCAAGGTCACAGAGTAAGAGGCAGAGCCATAATTTAAGTCCAGGCAGCCCAGATCCGGAATCCAATGTGGTCTCTTAACCACAATTGTTGGTATTAGTTGCTGTCAAGTCAGCCCCTGACCTATGGGTGACCCCATGCACCTGGTCCTGAGCCATCCCCATGATCAGCTGTGGATCAGACTGTTGTGATCCATAGGGTTTTCCCTGGCTGATTTTCAGAAGTAGATCACCAGGCCTTTCTTCCTAGTCCATCTTAGTCTGGAAGCTCCACTGAAACCCGTTCAGCATCATCGCAACACGCGAGCCTCCACTGACAGACAAGTGGTGGCTGCGCATAAGGTGCGTTGGCTGGAATTGAACCCAAGGGGTCCTGAGTGGAGGGTGAGAATTCTGCCACTGAACCACCACTTTTCCCATCTTAACCACAATACCTTGCTCTTAACCACTATCCCACAGTGCCCCCTGTAGGAGCAAAGGCTCAACAGGTAGGCTGGCTAATCACTGAGAAGTCCAGGTGGCAGACAGAGGTCTCTGAATGTGACTTGGATGGTGGCAGTGGGAGTGACTCAGACTGGGTCTTACCCGGTCCATGCAGAGTTACTGCTGAAATTAGCAAGTGGTGCCCATAGGGAACAAAGCCCAGATGTGCCCCAGGGCTTGTCCCAGCTTCAGGAACGATTCTCATGGGTGACCAGAGAGAGTTTAGAATATTAAAAGAAAACTGAGAAGATAGAGAGGGTCTTTAGGCAGGGGTCCTCCTGCCAGCCTTGCCCTGACTTCTGCAGCCTCCACCCTCCCTGGGGAGAGGGTCTCAGCTGCCAAACTGGAAACCTGGGACTGGCATGCAGGCCACTGCCAGTGGCTTCCAGTCCTCAGCCCTGTGCCCAGTAACTATGGGTGCACAGCCCGTGGCTGGATGTTCTGAGACATGCTATCTGGCAAATGTCATGTGTACTTTGGGCAACCATGAAACAGGACACAGTTCATGACCACCCTGTAACATACAGAAAATAGATATTCTGGGACACTTCTCTAGGCTAGTTAGGATTTTCCAATCCAAATGGGCCTGTTTCCCACAGTGTCACCGTGTATGGCATTATCTTACAAAAATGCCATTGGAAAGAAAGTGTGCTGAATAAAAATCCATGATACCCGACATAAGTGATGTTGACTCATCTGCTGTTTTAGGTGATCAGACCTTTGGGTATTATAGCACAAACCACTTTCTATCAAATCGACTTCAACTCATAGCAACCCCATGTGTGTCAGAGTAGAACTGTGCTCCACAGGTTTTCAATGGCTGATTTTTCAGAAGTAGATCACCAGGCCTGTCTTCTGAGGTGCCTCTGGGCAGACTCGAACCTCCCACCTTTTGGTTAGCAGCCAAGTACATTCACCGTTTATACCACCCAGGGCCTCCTACTATATAGCACAGTGGTTAAGAAAATGGATGGCCTGGGTTTGAGTCCTGACTCTGCCACTTACTGGCTGGGTGGTCCTGGGCAAGATGTTTAACCTCCTTCACAGTTTTCTCATCTGTAAAATGGGAATAATAATCGTTTTTGTCTCATAAGTTTACCGTGAGGATTTAATCCATGTAATATATTTAAACATATGTAAAGTGCTCAGAACAACACCCGGAGTATATATAGCAGATGCTCTACAGGTCTTAGCTGTTATTATCACCAAAATGAGATAAGATGTAGCTTTCTTGCACTAGACATGCCTCACCTTTAGCCAGGTCACAACCAGCCCATCACTGCCTGCCGTACTTATAACCAAGGGCGGCAGATTTTGGCCGAGCGGGACAGTTTGCTGAGCTGGCTTGGATTCGGACCTTCTTAGCCCCGAGCCTGCCAAGTTCCTGGGCTGTCCCTCAGTCCCCACTCTCCCACCCCTCCGCCTGTACCGCGACGCCTGGGCGGGGGCAGCCTGCGCTTCTTTCTGGCGCCCCCTGCGGGCCCGCCGCCCCAGCAGCGCCCTTGGCTGGTCCTCGGGCCGCAGCCCCCACCGTCTCCGCCCGCAGTCAGGGTGGGACCTCGCTGCCTTTCGCCCGGTCCGCAGGTCACTTACCGCCGCAGCGACCCCTCGCGGCCGCCAGGGGCCCCAGCAGCGAGCAGTAAATCTCCTCCAGCCTCTCCAGGTGACCGGCTCGGCTGGGGCTGGGCTCATTAGCCATTTGCTCCACGGCGGCCACCACAGCGTTGAAATACCGCTCCAGGGCGCGGCGAGGGCTGGCCTGTCGAGGAGGGGCGTCAGAGCCTGGGTTCCGACCCAGCACCCACCCAACCCAGCTGCTAAGCCAAGTCCAGGGACATGGACACCCAGCGTAGCACCTCCCCTCTGCCTCTGGGGGGTCGGATGGGACCTCTCTGCGGAAGGCTTCTGGGCCGCATACTCAGGCCGGTACTCCTGCCCGATGCCTGGTTTTGAGAGACAGCTGGTGCCCTATGGCGTCTGTAACCCAGAGGGGCGGGGATGGCCACTGACTCCACCCCTTTGAGAGTATCACCAAGCACTTGAAGCGGTGTTCTGCCGCTACTGGGTGTAAACTGCAGGAAGGCAGGGATTTTGTCTGTTTTGTTTACAGCTGCATCCCTGACATCTAGAACAGTTCCTGGCACATAGTAGGTGCTCAATAAATATTTGTTGAATAAATATTTCCTAAACTTCTTTTGTTGGCTGGGAATTGAACCTGGGTCAACTACTGAGAATGCAGCTCTGTGCACCACCATACCACCAACGCTAAGCATAACAACGATTGTGAGGATGGCGCAGGACCGGGCAGTGTTTTCGTTCTGTTGTACATTGGGTCGCTATGAGTCGGAACCGACTCAATGGCACCTACAGAAGCATTCAGTTCTTATATGACCTTGACATAGCACCTATACTATTACTTACTCTGTATTTTTCTTAAACCAGCTCACTTTTTTGGTTCAAAATTATTTCGAAAGGAATCTATACTGCCACTCTAAAAAATAAAGCCAGAGTCGCTTGTCATAAATAGAAAATATCTAAAATGAATATAATTATCCCAGAGCACTATTATTAAATTCTAGCTAGGTACTGTTGCCTGCCAAGGTTTTGAGCTCGAAGCTCACTTCCTCTTTCTTAAAAAAAAAAGGAGAGGTTAGGGGCATAGGGACAAGCTAAGCCTTTCCCTTAATGGAAACAGAAGATTTGAAAGAGAAAGGAAAGAAGTTTCTCCCTGTGTCATTCAGTATTCCAGCGGCACAGCGAGACATCCTGTGAAGTGCTGCCTTGTATCATGTTCTCTGGCTCTGTTCCCCGGCTCTGTTCCCCCACGCCCATCCCACCAACAATTAACCGCAATCTCATAACTGAAGACGCGGGAGCCAGAACAAGCGACCAGGCCAGGCACACCAGGGCTTGCTCTAATCTCAGTTCTGGGCTGGGGGTTTGCTAAGGTGATGTCTTATCTCCCTGGGCCAAGGGGGAGTGGGTCATTCTGACTAGCTATGGGTCAAATAGTTGTTGAATGAACAAATGAATGCAGGGAAGTATTGACACGAATATGTAGTCAGACTTTGAAGGGGCAAGAGGGAGCATCTCGTCTTGTTGCTTCATTTTATAAACTCCCCACTACTTAACGAATATTTACTGAGCTCCACTATGGGCCAGGCACTGTGCTGGGATACAGCAGTTAACAAACAGGCAAAAATTCCTGTCCTCATGGAGCTTATAGTGTGTGTGTGAGAGAGAGAGAGAGAGAGAGATAACAAACAAAATAACTAAAATTCCTAGTATGATAGATAACGGTAAGTACTGAAGAGAAAAATAAAACAGGTAAGGGGGATGTGAAATTTGGGGAAGGGGCTGAAATTTTCAATAGTGTGGTCAGGGAAGCCTCACTGAGAAAGTGACTCTTAAGACCCGAAGGAAGTGGAGGAACATTCCAAGCTTAGGCAACAGCAAATGCAAAGGCCCTGGGGTGCAAGTGTGTCTGGCATGTTGGAGGAACAATGCCGAGGCCAGTGTAGCTAGAGCAGAGAGAATGAGAGGGAGGGTACAAGAGATAGGTCAGAGAGGAAAGCAGGGGGTGAGGACAGATCATGAATCTTGTAGGCCGTTGTAATGACTTTCGCTTTGATTCCAAGTGAGATGATGTAGTCAGACTGGTGGCTACTCAGATTCCCACCTTCAGGACTGAGGCACTCATTGCCTCAGCTGCTGAGAGTGCTGGCAGCTGATAGCTCTCCACTGGGTCCCTCTCCAAAGTTGTCCTCAGCTGGAGAGAGACCCCTCTCCCAAGGTCATGTTCCCTTCCTGAGATAGTCCACATTCAATGACTAGCTGATGTGGAGATATAAAGGCCTGGCCCCCTCGTCCTAATTCAGGGCAACTCTGAAAGGTCATCTCAGCTCCAGAGCTTGCCCCAGAATCAGCAACTACATTCCAGCTCAGTGTCTCCCTCTGCCCAATCCTGCGCCCTTCATGCCCCACAGGCGTCAATCCTGAGAGGGCTCCCCAGTAAACTTCCTCTGAATCAGAGGCTACTTCCCAGGGAACCGTGTGACAGATGGGGAGGCACAGAGATGCTGCGCAGAGGAGTGGCGGAAGCTGACTCCCATTTTAGCAGCTGCAGAATTGACACTAGGTGGCTAGGGCAGGAGCAGAAGCAGGGGGACAGGAGGCTGCTGCAATGATGCAGGTAAGAAATGACAACAGCTTAGACCAGGGTGGTGGCAGGCTAAGTGGAGAGAAGTACTTAGATCCCGCCCATATTTTGAAGGTGGAGCCAACAGGAAGGACTGAAGGATGACCCCAAGCTGTTTTGCCTGAGCGAGTGGAAGAACAGCATGGGCGTGAGCTGACATGGGGAAAGGCTGTGGGTGGAGCTGTTTCTAGAGAAATGAGGAAAAGAGCAAGATTAGACCCCCAGAAGCTGTGGTTGCTCAGAGCCATGCTGCCAACCCACAGGAGAGCTAGCTCTCAAAAATGAGTCTTCTGACTTCCTTCCTTGGCCTCGTCCGCATGTCCCTCCAGAAATCTCTGGCTTCAAGGTTAGCAAGGAAGCCTCACCTGGTCCTCACACCCCTGACCCCACATGGGGCAGCCCTACCTGGAGACTTTCTTACCTCCAGTGCCCAGAACCTGGTACCAGAGGGTCAGAGAGGGGCTGTCCCAAGCCGACATTTCAGTCTCAGGACCTTGCAGCTGGTCCTGCGGACACTGCAGAGACCAATCTCCTCCCTACCTGGGCTTCAGACCAGAGGCCTAACTAGGGGGTGGGGGCAGGTAGAGCACTGTGTCCTGGGCATCCTTGTGTGCTTGAGGTGAGAGCCAGTTAGTTTCTACTGGCCACCACAGTTTCCATTGCCAGCTGTGAGAGATCATTCAACAATTGACACTAATTGCCGTGGGCGCTATTTTCCAGAGTTAGGCCCCTTTCTCAGACCCAGGTTCTCAGCAGACAGGATGTGGGCTGGTGGTCAGACAAGGCCTCTCCTCTGGGCTGGTGACTGGCTGAGTCATCTCTCCTGGGCCGCACTTGATCTCAAGCAGCCAAGGTACGACTGGGAAGAGCACTCCGGAAGCTGCCTCAAGGGGCTGAATTTCTGAGAGGGGAGCAGGGGCTTGGGGAGGAGGTGGGGAATGGTGGTCAACAAGAGCTGGAGAGCCCAGGCCAGGCTGATGTTGATGAGCCTTAACATCCAATGGGGGAGGGGACATGCCAGAGGACCCCTGAGGACCCCGCCAGCTCTAAGCTTCTGAGGGTTTCTAAGACCAATGACGCATTCCTTATAGTCTCTCCCTGCTCCTCTTCTGCCCTTCCCCCAATTCTGTACACACACAAATTTAGAATCTGGATAAAGTGGGTTCTGGATAAAGTGAGGTGGAGGGGTGGGGATATAACATTTTGACTATGCGTAAAAAAAATACAGGTTTTACTTTCTGCGTTTCGTTTTTCCACTGCAAAGTAATGTGTGTGATAGACCTGGTAGTTCTGACACTGAACCCCACCCTATTCCTGACCTGGCATCTCTCAAACCTACTCCATTCCTGATACCCTCAAGGCCTCATCCCTAGCCTTATCCCTGAACTCCAGTGGCCTCCAACTCAGGGATGGAGTAGGGCTTGGAATGGCCAGTGTTCCCATGTCACTGAGTAAAAAAAATCAGTGTTCTTACATGTTGGACTTGGTTGTGTCAAAATGGCACCATCAATATGCCCTGTTTTGTGAGCCAGAAATGATCACTAGAGTCTCTAAAAGGGCAGTAGGAGCTGCTGGGTCAGCAGGCAAACTCTGAGTCAGGAAAGCTCCTCCCTTCCCCACCTGCCCAATAGCCATAACCAGTTGCCAAACAGGAGGACAGTGTCCTATATTAGGGGAGATCGGAGTGCTAAAACCAAGATGGGGCCCTAGTGTGTCCCACAAGTGAACCTTGTGTTTAGGACCAGATGTGTTGGCCTGGCTTCCTGAACAGGATGAGAGTGTAGGCTGATTCCCTTTCCCAGGGCGTCTTGACCCAAAACCCATCCCATAGGAGCTGATGGCCATCAGCACATCCCTCCCCTGTGCCCTGAGCAGATGTCAACATTCCCAAGAACTGCTTAGCTGAACGTGTACATTATACAGCACCTGACCAACCCCGCTTCTCTACCTGCTCCTAGTGGGGTGGGAACGGGGTCCCTCTTCTGCAGCACAAGAGGGGTGTGTGCAGACCATCATCCCTGTGTCAGCTGCTGCAGGACAAAAGGACAAAAGGAAAGAGACCAATGCCCAGTACTGAAGCTGGCCTTGGTCTGTCTCTTCTCTATGTAAGTAAAGTGTTGTTTCATTAAGTGCCTGTGTGTGACTCGTACTTTTTTGGCAACCGTAGACCTTGGTTTGACAGTTCGGCACAGCGAGCAGGATCAACACTTAGGTATGAGTTAGTGGGGCATGGGAGCATTTCTACACAATGCAGTTGTGTGCTGTGAACGCCCCAAAGGGAATGTTATAAAAGGAGGGGCGGTCAAGAACCCTCAACAGGGCCAAGCCAGGGGCTAACCACAAGGGATGGTATTCTAAAGATGTGAATGGTGCCTTTTGAGGAAAGGAATGATAGAAAATAGTAAACATGGTCTAAAGAGCGACATCAAAACCCAAAAAACCCATTGCCGTCGAGTCGATTCTGACTCATAGCAACCCTATAGGACAGAGTAGAACTGCTCCATAGGGTTTCCAAGGAGCAGCTGGTGGATTTGAGCTGCCAATATTTTGGTTAGCAGCTT